GTAATTATTGGATGCTTTATCCGAAGACTATTTTAGGAATGATGTTGGTAAAAAAGGTCACCTTAATCCCACAACGACTGTTCACTGGCACCAGATGGCTCCTAATCTTGTCATCACTCCATTTGGATCACTCGTTTCTGGCGGGATGGAGGCAACAATTGTGAAGTATTCTTTAAGTAAAACGAAAGAAACTGCGGCTCCAAGTTTCTTACCCCATTTACAAGCAAATGTTATGACGATGGGTCTTTCGAATGATGGTTCACTGCTGTCGGTGGTGCTTGAAGACAATTCTATTCACTTTGTTTTACTTGCTACGATGACGGTTTTATCATCAGCAGAAGTCGGATGCATTAGGCATAAAACTTTGCCACGTAGTGTGTTGCCCTTAATGACTGACCCATTTTACCCGGATGCCATCGTTATAAGTGCAAACCCTGGGAAGCTAACCTGGATTGATGCTGGTAGCGGAGTCTCCATAAGAACTGTAAGGTTTTTATAAAGTACATATTAGATTCTCATTATAGACTTGGTATCTGATTTGGCTTCTGATGCAGTTTTCTCTTTTAAGGAAGTTGTTCAGTGAACAATATAATTTTCAAGAAGTTTTTGCAATTTGCACTTTTGTTTACATTTCTAGCTGGATGTGACTGATGAGAATGCTGCTACTCGTAACCGCGGTAGAAAACTAGTCAATTTTAGTGAGGTTATAGCGGCAGGATTTGCAAGATCATTGGTAGTTACTTCCATATCAAGACTGAGAAGCTGCTTTTCTGCGGTAGGTTTTTTTTCCCTTGAATTGTTGTTTTGAACTTATTTGGAAATTTCATTTTAACATTTGGTAGTGCCTTCGCATAGAAGTGAACTTTGAGTTGCGGTGAAAGGATGACTTGGTTCACTGGGCTTCTAATTAGTTCGATTGTAGAAGGTGTAGTTTTGGTGGAATTACATGGATTTTCTAAGTTTTAATTTAACGGCATAAGCAAGGTTTTATGGTGTACTGTTGGCAGATAAGAAAGTATTTTTCTTTTCGGAGAATAGCAGAAAAAAATCTCCAGAAAATTCTTTTAGAAAGAAAATTTATAGGATTGAAATATGCTCTCAGTTAATTGTAGCAAGAACAAGAAGGTTATGGTAAAGAGGACTTAGTTCCCAGGTCATTTTCGGTTATAAAGTGGTCTTTTGGAATTGCAGCGGTAGTCAAAAACCTTATAAAATTTTGTATACCAATCTGGAAAATTGATATAACATAAAGCTCTTCAAACACGGCTATGGGGAACATTAGATATTTGTCAAATGTGCTCTTCTTTATCTCAGGCTCTTTCTGTGTCTCATTCATGGCCGTAATGTGAAAATGCGAAAGGGGTCGTTTGCTTTGGATATTGAGAAGGTACTAAAGTTTTAAAGTGTTTTTCAAATCTTTATTTTTTTAAGAATTCACTCAAATTTTGGTCGAGAGTTGAAGAAAGTGGAGGTTTAAATTTGGAATATGAGTATTCTTGTGGAGAAAACGTTGTAACTTTTATAAGAATTACTGCCGATTCCCAGACGGTCTTGACCGTTAGTTCGAAGGTAATTTCTCAGACTGTTTACGCCATAAAACTGTGTATTGTAAAGCAGATCACATATGGAGATTTTAATTTTCTGTTATTTTAAACTAGCATCTTAATCTTCTTCTTATCTTCTCTAAATTTAATGGTAACATCTACTTTTTTGCATGTTCATGTTCCTATGTAGAGAAATTCTTGATGCCAGCATACTTTTGAACAGCGTTTTTTCATTTTAACAGGGAGACATATGTCTCTGGCATAGAACGGAAACGAATACGAAAAGGTGGTTGCAAAGTCCAGCTACAAATTTTCATGATATGGAAGTGAGCTATGCGTCGCAGTTTAAAGATTCACTGGTTGCCCTAATTCACACTGTAATATTTTTTTATTATACTTATACAGTACTAATAATATATGAAGCTTTTTTCGTTATTTCTGTTTGAGAAGCTTAATTAAAACAGTTTCGTACCCTAATTGCCAGTTCGTTGCAAATAGGAGCATTTGAATCTTTCTGTCAACACTGTTTAGTTTTTCCCATTAGGTGTAGTAGTTTCTTACAGTGTCCAGTAGTATCATTTTCATTAATAATTCTAAGAATTATTTATGTTTTTGTTTTAAATCTTTTGCTTTAAAGGTTTGCCATGAGTTTTAGTTTTAGGCTTCGTTAACAAAGTTAACCGCAGAAGAGCCCGTCGATGGAAAAGAAAGAAGCCTTGTAATTTGGAATGTGTCAAATAGTAACGCAGTGTCAGATGAATGCTGTTATTGTGAGAATACTCTAGCCTCTGCTGAATGGGACCCAAATCCTCTTTCTCATCTATTATTTCTTTGCTCTCCAACTTATATATGCGGCTTCAATGTTAAATCCTCGTCTTTGGTATGGATGATTACTAACTCAGATGGATTTCCAAGAACAGGTGTTACGTCAGATTACTTTTACTTCCACACGGACAAAGAGGGTAATTTTATCTGGTTTTACTGCTTTGTTGCTAGACGATTTTGAGATAAGAAAGACTACTGCTAGCACAAGAAGGTCATTTCTGAAATTTTTGGTTTTACAGTTTATGTATTCGAAGAGGCAACTGAGGGGTTGTCAAAGCCGTTAAAATTTAGTTATCCAGATCTTAATGCACGTGGTTCTGTTGCTGTCGGCAAGGGTTCCGAGTTCAAAATAGTCTTTGATGTGCCTAAGGTACTCTTATACATTTGAGTTCTATTGAATGGCAGTTTACTCTCAATGTTTTCTAAACCTAGGCTGCAATTTTAATTTCTCATTTCATCTTTATAGCTGTTTATTTTCACTACTTCTCTGGATCTCTCTCGAAAAGTACACTGAGGTTAAATTATTTCAACGGTGAGTGGTAGATTTCACTTGGGAAATTTGTTTTCAGGGCTATTTAGTACTTTCTCGAAATCTGGAATTGTTTAAGCTTGAAAGGAATCCAGGAATGAAAAAGAGCGCGTTCGCGCAGCTTTACTCCACTGTTGACCAAAGACCTACTAGACAACATCTTGCAGTTGAACCAAAATCTGCAATTGAAATGCTTGCAGGACCAACTCATGCGTTACCTCCCATTTCTTTATTAGCACCTTCCTTTATTCAGGCTTGTTTATTATCTCCCAAAGAAATTTAATTTTTGCGGAAGTCGTTCTTCAAAGATATCCTGAATTTATTACTGTTTTCCGTTTCTAACGGGGTTGCAAATAGATACTTTATACTTTTACTTTTTTCTGACGAGTGACTTGATATTTTTTTGTTGACAAGGTGGTTTTTTCTTTACTGTTTGTTAAGCGTCTGTTTCTTGATAGTTTCCGACTGCTTTGGTTGTTTTTGCATGAATTTACTTTTTAGAATTCATAATATTTTGTTATCTTAATTCATTGCAGTATTTGTAGTCTGTTATCTGTAATTACCGTTTTGTAATCAGTACTGATACCACCTTTTATTCATGATCTCTAAGCAAGAATATCTTTAGCGTTTTTTAAAGGCAGTAATTCTTGCGATATAACTTTTAGTGGTTGACTGAAACTAAAAGTGCCTGTTTTTTGACTCGTACTAACTTGTATGAAACTTCTCGTTGTTTTAATTGTTGTTATAAATCGAGTTCTGGTGTATGCTGCTGTTTGTGAGCACCCACGGTATATGGATATTATTCAGTTGCGTGTTGGGTCAGTACGTTTTATAAATTATATGTTATTTGAGGGTGCTGAGCAAGATGAACTCGTGGACGGTAATCAGCGTAAGTTGAAATAATGGATATTAGCTGACGCTTTCGCTATCTATTAGTTTTTTGTGTGCAAATGTGCTGTGTGGTGATATTGTATGCTAGATCTGGTGTACAGTAAAGCGCTATCATAATCTTGAAAAAAGTAATTTCCTCGACTCATAAACATTTTGATTAGACTGGCTTTGAAAGCAAGCTAGGGGTAGATGGAAGGAAGTAATTGATCGTCAAGTGCCAGATTTTAATATTTTTGTAGTGTAGAAGCGGCTTGTGAGTTAAAGCTGGAGCGTTGAGGGACGTCCTAGTATTGGGAAGATGGCTCGGTCATTTCGACTTTTCTAGGAAGTTTTGCAGTAATCTTTTGTAGGTCAGTGGCATTGTTGATAAAACTTTTCATGAGCAACTTAAGTCTTTACGATTGTTTCGTCGTTATTAGAAAAAATCTTGCAGCGTTTACAGTGGAAGTTTGTTAAGTGTTTTCTTCCGACAAGTTGGTGTATGCAGTTGTTAATACTGTTTTTTCTGACTAGATGGGGAACAAGACTAGTGCAGACACGGTGTCCTGAAGAAAGTAGTTGACAGGGATGCGAATGGAAGCTTAGAAAGTCGAAATGCTATGTGAAAGTTAGAAAGATAAAAACCGAGAGTCATGTGTATATCACTTGAAGTTTGATATGCAACTGCTAATTTCAGGAAAATACCGAGAGACTGCTAATAACCTAGTCATGAGGTTCCATTTCTTGTGCTGCAGTCTTTAACATTTGTATAGCTTTTAATAAGCTTTTTTAATACAGAAGAGTAGAGAGCAAAGAAAACGTTCTGGATTTAAGTATCA